TTGGCTTGAAACAAAAAAAAACGGAGGGAAGAAAATTCCAAACGAAACGAGAGACTTGGGCAATGAAATCGGAGCTTTCTTCGTGACTGGCGACGTTTTCCCAGAGATCCGGGCCAAAGAGCCTCGGTAATGAGAGGTCCCAGGGGTCACCAGCCATGTCCAAAGCAATTGGATGTTACAATTTGTTTGGCCAACGACATGTCAATTGAGAGGTGCTTTGCCCCCAGCAGCCGAGTCTTCAAGGCCTCAATCAATCAGTCAATTCTATTTTTAACCTACTCTGAGAAAGGGGGGCCTAAACTATCTTACAACATGCATCTTGCAACAAGTTAATTAAATTAATATTTGCTTTCCAAGTAGAGCATGGAAATGCTCTTAATCTCCGCCGCTACCTAATTAGTTTATCCACCATTATAATTTTTAATTGGCTCTGCCCCGCCACAAACAAGAGGAAAATACTATCGTGGAAGAAGTGAAGAAATGTTCAATTGTAATTTTATGCAACACGCAGCCGCAAAATGATTTTCACAGCAAATTATGCGGCCAACCGCAGTCGGTGCTGTGGGGCTGTGGAACATGCAACATGGATTTCCCACGCATGCCCCCAATGAATGGAAATGGAAATGAAGAGAGGGAACTACAAAAAAGATACTGACTCTGTATAGAGACGTCTATAGCGCAGAAACAACTTCCGCGAGTGGCTTTGCGGCAAGAAAAAAATTTGCGTTTTTGATTAAATCGTGGGATAGAGATCAAACCCATCCTATAAGAGGTTGGCCAGACAGGTGAACAGGTCGAAAAAACACCTCTTTTATGGGTGTGCGGGTTAGGGCTTTATTTTTGTGGGAGAATTCTGATTGAGAAAGAAATTATGGCTCCCAGAAGGCGGAAGTGGTGACTGATTAAGGTCTCAGATTATGTTGCCCTATATTTATCATTTCCTATTTTATCAAATAATAATTATGTATGATTTTATTTATATTTCAGGAATGTATACAATAGTAAAAAAAAGTTTCTCCATCTCGGCACAGTTAATGGCACTGGAAGAATTCACGGGGTAATTTCTATACAACCCGTGATCTCTTAGTGGCATCTATGGTGCGGGATTAAAACATCAAAAGAGTGAATAAAAAAAACCAATGAAAAGTGTTAATATTTCTACCGTGAACTGCATTAAATCGGTTGCCCAAAGTGAAACCCCCTTGATTTTTTTTTGGTTGGATGGATGAGGGTATATTAATTATTAGAGCGGACTCATTAGCACTTCCAGCCTCGAACTCAACCCGAAAAAAAACAATCTAATTCATAATTTTCGAATATTCGAGAGAGAAAAAAACTTTCGGAAATTTGGGGAAACAAGTGAGAGGAGGAGGAGGGCCGAAGCGGACATGAAGGTAGCCTTGAAAAATCACCTTTCACACCGCCTAGAGTTCCCGGTTCTCTTTCATTTAACTTTTTTTTTTTTTTTGCCCACAATTAACAGTTCAATGAACCATGCCCCCTCACCGGTCTCTTCTCAGCGAGACGGTACGGTACGGTTTCCCTTCAAGTTCCAGCCCAGCGGATGGAAGAAGAAACGAACACAGAAAGTACCAATCTCCCGAAGAATAGCACAAAACCCATGGATAATAGCCCATTGGAGCTGTTGGGCATGCCACTACAAAAAAGGCGGGAGAGCGGGACAGACAGCCAGTAGCGGGGAGGGAGGGGTGTAGGGGCAGGTAAAAAAGATAATTAACTTTTTTTTCTTTTAGCACTAAGTATGCCAAAGAGGAAGCACTAACAACAGCAACAGCAACAAATTACAACACATTACAATGGCCGGGGACTCCAAGTGTGAGAGAGTTCCCTTAAGAAAGGGTCCAACTATCCGTCCTTTTTCTTGCCAACTTCCCCCCATTCTTTCCATCTCTTTCACTTCAATATAAACGCTTCAATGATTTTGTCATGCATAAATTTAGCAAGTTTGCTAAAAATTCTGCAGTCTGCCAAAGTAAGAATCAAATAAATTCCTGCCCAGAGGTCTGAGTAGTTTTTCCCTGTTTCAAGTTCCGCTCGGAAGAGTTCTCAAAGGTAAAGGGGGTCTTTTTTTTCGCCTTTAATGATGAGGCTTCCTGTTTGTCAGCCCCACACATACCATATATTTATTTATGAGACACCTTGCGCGTTGATAAGTCTCAGGTACAATTGAAATTCGTGCTTAATTAAGTCGGGTAATCTTTGATCTTTGGCGGAGAAGAATCTTAAGAGGAGTAGCTGGAGTTAGTTTAAGCCAATTATTCACTAAGGTTGGTAAAATATTATTAAATACTCAAGGTCTGGTATCCAAACTTGGAAGACTCTTAATAAGGTTTACTTAAGTAAGTAGTCATTTTTAAGATCCTTACTATTTCCAGCTAATAAAGAACTACCCCTTCAAATTCCTAAAAAAAAGAGAAATATATTTCTTTGAGGTCCGATTTGCATTCCTGGGTTTCTCTTTAGATAACCACCAGATGGCGGGGAAAACCAATTGATTGGCGGCAAATGGTTAAAATTTTTGCATAATTCAATGCGCACGCGTTCTGGTTTTAGTTTCGGCAATTTTCCTTTTTTTCCCGCTGCCACAGCTGCCACAAATACGAAAGAAAAAAATAAAATGGTCAAGAAAAATGCTGTGAAGGATGCAGGTTGGAAGGTTGAACGGGGAAGTGGTTGGGCCTGCTCCGATTTGAAATCATTAAATGGACGACAGGCGAAATCGAAATTGCAGTGCCAAAGTTGCCGCCTGCTGTTGCTCTTGTTGCTGTTGCAAGTTGGAAGTTGCAACAGTTGTTGGTTGGTTGTCGGGTTGCCTGGTTGTCGCAGGGTTGTTTGGAAAATTTGAAAATTACCTTTAATCAGAGCGAAAATGAGATGGCTAATTCGAGTATGCCGGAATGGGATAGCTGTGGAAATGGAAAATGCCGTGGGTACTGTGGGAAATTGCCGTTCTTGTCATTTTCGGTCAGTGGGAAAACTTTTTCGTGTGGCGTGGGTGGGCTGGCGGGCAGAGCAGCTGTGCGTTGGAATGTGCCTTGGCTTTTAAGGCGATGAGAACTGGACTTGGTTCACACAAAATAAAAGGAGCTGTTGGCCATGTTATGCAAAATTAAAAAACACAACATAATAGAGGATCTAGCTAGCTGTTTTATGGTAATTTTTGGATTAAAATAAAAGTCAAAATTAATATTGAATGTAAATAAATTAATAATTATTTCTTGTTAGATAAATCTCAATTTATTTTCCAGTGTAGCCCGAAAGAGATGCAGATAAGTGGCATCTCCTTCGCTGTGTTTTGATCTATGAGCTGCGATTACGAGGCGCAGCTAAAAGCTGCACAAATAAAGCGCGGCGATCTCCACAAGTTGATCTCCAAGTGAGGCAGCTGCTGCTAGTGCTGCTGTTGTGTTTTTTTTCTCTTTCTGATGCTGCCAGCAGTTGCAAATGATGATGAGGCAGCAACAGCAGCCACAGCAACAACAACAAAGCCCAGGCCAGGAGGCCATGACAAGCGACAAGTTGTCGTTAGGCCCAAAATTAGATGCATTTTGTATGCCAGGCACAGATCTCGGGCCAGAAAGCTACGAGAGCAGTACACTTGAAATAATTTATACCTAAAAAAATTAGCACTTATTGAAGTAGTTCCCCCAACTTAATATAAAGAAAAATGTTTTACAAATTCTATAAAATAAAAAAAGTCAAAGTTCAATGTATCTTTTCATAAATATTTTCTTCTGTGTTCCATTCACCTAGGCCAGAACGAGAGGTGCCATTTTGAGAGGGAGGGGAGGGAGGAGGTTGCCTTTATGGGTTTAGGGTAAACATTTGGCGACGCATCAATGCAGCTGGCCAAGAGCTGCAAAAACAGCAAAAAAAACATAAGCTGCGACTGCAGCCCGCAGCTCGCAACTCGGAGCTCGGAGCTCGGAGCTTGTGGAGTGTGCAAATATTTTGCCAGCAATTTTCAGCTTAAATGCCTGCAAAACGAGGCGCATCGTGTGCCCAACAGCTTTTGGCGGCTCTGATGTATTTATTCATATTACTTTTTTTTCCTAAAACATACTTACTAGTTATGTTGCTAGTAGAGTTCGTAGTACGATAATTGCATCAAGAATTTCCAAGAGTACATGACTTTTTAGAGACTACTTTGAAGAGACTTATTAAAAGTTCAACTACAAAACAATTTTAAATATTTCGCTATGGTATTTAACCAAAACTAAGCCAACACCTTTAAACAAAACTAATTTTTAAACTTAATGGTTTTTAAGACAAGGCCCTATTTGGAATCTATGACATAATCTATAAATATATCTTGTAAAGATTGGTGGGAAGAACACGCTAAACAGAAATTGTTTCATTACATGATAATTAAATAATATCTTTGATCGTGCACTGGACTCTTTGGCTTTATAATCGAAATGATAAACTAAAAACTACACATGCTGTGCTCTCTATATCTCTCTTCGGATCGGGGAATTTCCTAGCTTTGTAATTACTAAGCGGCGGACACGTGATGGCAATGAATCTTGATATCGGTTCATAGAGATCAATGCAAATTAAAACCCCTGTTCTCAGACCCCTAGAGCTCCCATGTGAAGTCATTGTACAGTTGACGACCTCGAGGCGGATCTTCCCTCCAAAAAAATAACACTTTCTTGAGGTTTTCGTTTGATTGTCGAGGGATTTGTCCCTGAATTTGTGCAGCAACCCCGCTCTCGTTTTGAACTTCCGTTGCCCACCCCCGATGTAAGAAATCGTTGCGTGTTGTTTCGGTTTTATGCCAATTCCATATACAACTGATTTATTAACAATTCAAATCGAAACCTCAAGGAGAAAAAGTAACAGACCCCAGTCCGCAGTTCAGTGGATGCAAAACTGTGTGGACTGGAACTTGGCTAGAGGTAAGACGGTTATTTTGTACAGCAACCATGGTGAGTTTGGCTAGTGGGTTGGTTTCTTGGGAGGCCCTAGACATTGGCTTTAAATATTTTGGGTTTTCCACTGATTCTACTTGTCTTTATCCTTTTTGTCCTCACATTTGTTCTTCGTAGCTTCCTCTTGGCATTTCTTCTTTAATGCCTCTTCCTCGCATTTTTTCTTCAAGGCCTCTTCTTCACATTTTTTCTTTAACTCCGCTTCCTCGCATTTCTTCTTAAGTTCTGCCTCCCCACAAGCTTTCTTCTCTGCCTCTGCGCATTTCTCTTTCTTTGCCTTCTCCTCCTTCTCCTGGCACTCTTTCTTCACCTGCTCTTCTACGCACTTTCTCTTCTGTTCTGCCTCCTCGCACATTTTCATCAAAGCTTCTTCCTTTTTCTTCAATTCCGCATTTAAATTCTTCTGCTCCTCCTTCTTTTTGATTTCCGCTTCCTTCTGCTTACACCATTCTGCAAGCTCCTCCGAGGACATGCTCTCCAAAGCCTTTCCCCCCTTCGATACTTCCACCTCTTTATCTTTCTTTTCTTTCTCCTTGATCAGGGCCTCCTTTTTCTGGCACCAAGCTTCCAGTTCCTCTTCGTTCATGTCCTCCAGAGGCTTCTCTTGAGCTTTCTTGCATTTTTCCTCCTGCTCCTTGGCCTGCTTTTGGAGAATCTGTTCGCATTCTTTCTCCAAATTCTTCATAGACTGAAGATCGTCGTCGACTTCTTGATCTTCGTCCACCTCCAGGGAGGCCTGAATTCCGGCGTCGGACTTGCGTTTGTCCCTTAATACCGTAGCCTGTTTAAGCAGCTCCATAAAGCTAAATCGATGATACCCAAAGTACTGGGCGTTCTTGTACGCCTGGTCTTTTCCCGCTCCTGGTCCCAGCTTTTCGTCCGGTCCACTGAACTGCCGGAAAGACGAGGGACTCACGAATTTGGGGACATCGAATCCCTCGTGGCCTACGCATTCCGGCTTGTAGGGAGGCTCATCTGGTGGATCCTTGGGAGGTCGCGGAGTATTCGAGGGCTTGTTTGAATTCTTCTTATTGCCATAAAGACGAGAGATTAGAGCCTGAGCCAGATAAGGGCGCTTAAAGCTTCTTGTCATTTTAAGGGACATTTCTTTAAAATGAAATCAACTTATGCGATAAATAGGTTACCAAAAATTTTTTGAAAATTTAAAAGATGGTTGCTTTGGTTGCGTAGAAATTGGATAATTATTGTGTGCCTTTCACCTTCTGGAACTTCTAAATGGTTTATAACTAATGTTAAAATCAAAGCAGGCTTAGCATATTTCGATTTATATGGTTGTTATAAGGTTTTTATTATACTGGTCTTATATTATTATGATACAATGTAGTCATACTTATAATTTGTGAGCTACGTCTAACATACAGTGCGTATGAGTAATTTTTAAAGTCGCTTCGTTAGAACTCTGCTTTTGGATCATTATAAATACTATTATAATATTTGTGTTTTATTTTTAAAAGTTAATTCAATTAAATGAGTTTAGAATCTAAGCTTTTGATTAACAATTTTATAGTTTTATTTAAAATGAATATTATAAGACGATTTTAACGAAATTAAAAGTGTAATTCAAGATTAATGGTCTTACAATTGATGATTAAACCTTTATTTTAATGCTGATATAAAATTATTCCTGATTGACAATTTTTTTTAGATTTTATTTTATTATGAGAATATAGTGTATAATTTAAGAAAGATATCAAGGATGCAAGGCAAAGGTCTAAGTAAAGTTTAAAAAATTAATGGCCCAATTTCCATTTATATTTTATTTTTAAACCCAGACATATTTCCTAAACTTTTAAAAACACTTGAATCTTTTTCAATAATTTAATGACTATAACAAATTAATTATCACAGTAGACAATTTAAAACTGTGGGGGAAAGGGCATTTTCAAAAGCATCTTCCTTTCCATCTCAATGCGATTTTTGGCGTATTTGGCGGATTCCTCTTTCGCCTCGAGGGCGGCCTCCATTAGGTCGTACATCGAAAAAGCATGATAGTCAAAGGTGAACCCCTTCCGTCCCGGCTGAACACTCGAATCTGATGAGTATTTCTTATTTTGAATGCACTTCGGGTCTATGAAGGGGGCGACTTTCATGGTAGATGGATACGGGGTTCGCTGAACTTCGGATTTGGGCTTAATTGGTTTTTCTTCCGGGATGGCGATGGCCACCTTTAAAGCTGCCAGTCCACGGACTTGTTTCGTCGAGCAATTAAGTAGTCGGCACTTCGTGGTCAACATGTTGTGCTGGGGAAGGGAAACGTTTAGAAAAACGTTTACGAGAGAAGAGCAGAAAGCCAAAAGAAATCGCTTACTAGCTTAGTTTGTTCAGATTGTTTTTTGCAGCTACTTTGGATTTGGGTTTTTCCGGGTGTGCTTGTTTGTGTCTCACGGAGTTGACATTCGGAGCGTAGGCCAACTGTTTTGTAGTTTTCCAGCTCTAGTTTTTCTTCTTTCCGGCTGTCTCTCTGCCACTGTCAGCCCATTGTCGGGTAGAATGGCTCAAGGGATCCGGCAGACAACAAGCAGCTGCACTTTTGATGAACTTTTAAGTGATTTTCTGGCAAAGGACTCCGGCACAACAGCTGCAAGTGGCCCGGCATGACTTTGGGCCTGTCCTTGGTGTCACTAGCTCTAAGAACTTATATTAAATTTAGGAAAATTCTTCAAGACCGGATGTTAAGCCTTTAGATTAGGTGTAAGTTAATGAATGGTAAGTAAACCTCTTAAACTAAATTAAATAACTCTATATTTTAGCCAAATAATTTCAACAAACCCTTGTACATTTTTTACAGGCTCTGAAAGCTAAACTCTGAAAACCAGACCTCGAGTTTCCAAGGAAAATGTCTTAATCGAATCTCCTGCCCCCTCCGGACTCTGTCCAGTTTTCATTACCTTTTTGCCAAGTTGGTATTGCCTTGGCGTCTTAACTACCTTGGTCAAACTCATCCGCCTTTCCCCCACGGATCTCCACTCGCCACTCAAGTGCAACTTTATTTTTAAGTGTACGACGAGACACAAACTTTGTGGAATGGAGAAGCAAACTTTTTCAAGCGTTTCACCCCCAAGTCCTCTGGCGAGTGTTTATTATTAAAAAATTTGTTGCCATTTGCTGCCCTAAAGAAACTTGGCTCCGGGGTTTATGGCCAAGTTGCGTGCACACGTGGACATGAAGGTTGAAGTGTGGAAAAAGGTGGAAACTTATATGGTAACATAGTCGGATATGTGTCTGCAGCATCCATGACCAAAGTGTCAGAGTCCATGAAAGGCGATTAGGGTCAACTGGCTTTGGTTAGTTGACCAGAAGGAGCTACAAAGTGGAGAAGTCAGAACGAGCCAGACCACCTGTTGTCATTTAGAAAATCTTTTGGGAAATCTTGTTTAATTGGGTTGTAATTTTTGATATACTTTTGAGGCTTCTCTGAGGTCTAATATTTAGATTTTAAATAAAAAAGTGTATAATTTTCATTTGCAAAAGGTCATGCAGGCTATTCTGTAGCTCTGCAGCCTCATCTTTTTATTCAGATTTATTTTTTTTTACGTTTTTACATTGATGCAGTTGACTAACTATTAAGTAACACAAAGACAATTAAACTTAGTGCTAAAGTTAGCTAGAAGAAAGGCATTAGAGCTCGGTTGGAAGTTCTTGGCAAGTTTGCTGTATGCGTTAGTTAGTAAGTTGGTTAGTTAAAGAGTTAAGCCGACAGAAAGGCAGAAAAGCGTAGCCAAAATCCCAAAAAAAAATATTATCTAGGCTTTGTTAACACACAAGATTGAAACTAGATATTACAGGCTAAGAAAAACATATTCGTGGTCCGGTTGGCAGGTCGCTGAGGTCCTTCGTTGAGTTTCCTTTGAGTTCAGTTGAAATTACTGGGCATTCTGACTTTTATAATTACCAGGTCTGGGAGCGACGCTCCTCGCTGTCCCGTCGGTTGTCATCCCGGCGGTTGTCGTCCCGGCGGTTCTCCTCCCGGCGGTTCTCGTCCCGCCGGTTGTCCTCCCGGCTGGTGTTCTCCCGGCTGTCCAGCTGCCAGAGATCGTTGTTAAGGATGCGGCGTCCATTGGTCCAGCTGAGAGCGGCTCCTGCCCTGGCGGCGTTGCCGTTCAGGCGAGTGCTGATTAGGCCATTCAGGTTGGCGGACTCCAGCAGCAGGGGAGAGCTGATCAGTTGAGCTTGGATCGATGCACTGGAGGGCTGGCTGAGGATCAAGGGCTGGGAGCTGCGGTCAATGGCAAGGCGGGCACTGGGCAGCTGGCGCCAGGCTTCGAGGTCGCGGTCACGGGTCAGCAGAGTGGTTGTGGAGGTCCTGGTGGTTGAGGACGGCAGCCGAGAGGCCAGCAGAGTCGGTGGGTGCGAGACAACGGTGGCCTGGATGCTGGGCAGGCTTTGGGTCAGGAGCAGGGTCTGGTCAAGGAGGCGCTGGTTCTGGTTCTGGCGACGTTCCAATTGCTGCTGGCGACGATCCTCGCGCTCACGCTGCTCCCGGTCCCGCTGCTCACGCTCCCTCAACTCACGATCCCGCTGCTCCCGTTCGCGCTGTTCCCGCTCACGCTGCTCACGTTCCCTCAGCTCACGGTCACGCAGCTCACGATCACGAAGCTCCCGCTCTCGCTGCTCCCGTTCACGTTGTTCCCGCTCCCGCTGTTCACGCTCCCTCAGCTCACGGTCCTCACGGTCACGCTGCTCCTGCAGACGCTGTAGTTCCCTCAGCTGCTGCTCCTGCTGCAGACGCTGTTGCTCCTGTTGCTGCACCTGCTGCTGGAACTGCTCCATCAGCTGCTGGGCCTGGGCACGTGCCTGGTTCTCCGATTCCCGTTGACTGGCCTGCTGGGCCTCCGCCAGAGACTGAGCTTCGGCAAGGGCCTGGGCGGTGAGTCGGGTCTGGAGCTCCTCCAGGCTGTTGAATCGCGACGAGGTCGATGCGGAGGCGGAGATCCTTTGCTGTTGCTGCTCATCCAGACGCTGCTTGGAGACGATGGCATTGAAGCCGCTCACATCATCGGCCGTGTACTCCACAATGCGACGGGTGCCATCGGGTTCAATCAGCGAGTACTGACCCTTGACCAGATCGCCATCGCGCTTCTCCTCCTGCCGCTTGTCGTCGCCGGTCAGAGTGTCCCTAACATCGTAGGCGAAGCTGTACTGGGGACGGCTGTCGTAGTCCTCGCTAGAGTTGGGCGCCAGGGTGGTGGAGTCATCGTCGTTGTTGCCATCGTCCCGGTTGAGTTCGACGCGCAGTTGCTGCTGTTGCTGGAGGCTGGAGGACTTGGCCAGTTGGCTCAGGTCGATGGGACGCAGGAAGGCCGAGTTGGCCACATTGCAAGTCAGCAGGCTCAAGCAGAGCAACAGGTAGGTCTGGAGCAGAACAGGATTCAAACAGGACATGAATTAAATGGCATTGCAGTAGCAGTCCCGTCCAATCAATCAATTTGTCATTTTATTCAAGCTTTTTGCTTTTCATTCGTTATTCGAAAAGGGCCATAAATTAAAAAGGACAACAAAAGTTTCATGTAAATGAATGAATGAATGAATAAAAAAAGTTGTAGGATTTATATTTCCATGTCTGGGTTTATGGACTGTCCAGAATACAAAAAGCAAAATCTCGTGCATTTAAAGAAATGCTTTAGAAAATCAAGACAAACATTGAAAATATATTTTAGGTTAATTTTTGGAAAATAAATTCTTGAAGATCACGATTTTTAGATCTTTTTTAAGACAATTTTTTAAGTCTGTAGAAGATAATCCAAAACTTTTTGTAACAAATCCTCATTTAGAATTCTTGGTGTTAATTTCATTCCAACTTTTCTGGTACTCCCCCCTTCGGAACTCAAACCACACTTTGTTGGTTTCCATTCGGTTTATGTCACGGCTCTGGGCATTTAAATTGGCCTAATACGCCCTGGCCTTTATCGTTTTGTATTTTTGATTATCCTGATTTATGGCCCTAACTTCCACTTAGCCGGATAGACATGGCAGGCGAACAACGGGCTGAGAAATTTATGGCCGGCAGCGGTTGACGGAAAACTTACCCGTTTCATGGCTACTGACGTTAAGTATTCGACTAGTTGGTTGCTGGTAATTTGTTTAGCTGGTGCTCCTTCTGTGGATGCTGCTGCTGCTGTTACTCTTGGAGGTGGTGGTGGCGAACTGATGCCTTCTCCATTGCCCACTGGCCATTTTATAAGGGGGGCTCGTAAAAAGGGCCATCGCCAACGGAAGAACCAGACCACACCTGATATGCCCGATGGCCAGCTTTCAAATTTGTTTAGTTAGGGTTACAAATGACCTTCCCCATAGCTGAGATACATATTCGCACACTGGAGCTAACTGGCTGCACTGCAGCATTCACTTTTCCAGTTTTGAAGCAAAAAACTCTGCAATATTGTCACCCACTACCCTGAAAACAATGACGGAAGGGGAAAAATGGATTGGGACGGTGCTCTTATGAAAATGGTCAGCCAACATTGCCTACGGAAATTGGAAATTGGCCGGCACCAGAGACTGTCATTGGTTGTTTGGCCAAACAATGCGCTTTGGTCTCATGAATTTGAAATTTTGTAATCCCTCATCCGCCCGAGATCCGATTGCCAAATGCCAGTAGAGGTGGAGACCAGCAGAGAAAAAAGGAGGAAATTTGATAGCCGACCATAAAGTAAGAGAGGCGCCAGGCTGGAACGGTTGCTTTAATGGACTTCCTCTGTAACCGGGCACACTTTATCGATTAGTCCGATTCATTATCCGACAGGTTTTTCATCATGCGTGCATGTTAGTTACCAGGGCTCTGGTTCATATGAAGCCTCTCATTTTCCGGAGATAGAAATTAGTAGGAAATGCATAAGCTAGGCCATAGGATGTGGGTTTTGTGGGGTTCTGAGAAGTGGAAGAGAAAGGACATAGGTAATGCATTTAATCTCAGAAAACTGCAACCAAAGCATTTTTCAGATTATGGATTTTAATAATCTGGGTATTACTGTTTCAATTAGGATCTGTTTCAAAAAATCTGCTTTATTAGGGGTAGAATATTGTATATTGAACTTCTGGAAGGCTATGTACCTAGGTATTACTTATATATATATTTATACTTCTTTAAGAAATCCAAACCAACTCATAAATTTTCCACAAAAATAACTGCCTTTCAAGTTAAGAGTCCCAACCTTGAAGCATTTCCCTGGAAAACTCGTTGATACACACATTCCTAGGTTTTATTAATGGAGCCGCAGTTAACTTGGCTGAGGATGCGACACAGGCAGTAGCGAGGTGGCTAACTTTATCAGCTGTAAAAACACAGGCGACATCAACAAAAACTCGGCTAGAACATCTGTGTCAGTGCGTAAAAACAAAAAAAAAAGGAAAAACAAAAAAAAAATTAGTAACGTAAGCCAAACAAAGAAAAGCGGCAACAATAACAGGAGCCTAACGAAAAGCAAAAGCAAAACAGGCAACTGGATGGAAAAAATTGTCATGCATGACTGAAATACAAGATTGGAGGCAGATGTTGGGGAAAAAACTGTCAAAAAAAATAAACTAGATACATTTTTCTATTTAAGCCATTAAAAGTTTTATATCTTTTTCTATATAAAGTCATAATAACAGTCTTAAAATTATTTAAATAAACTTTAAGACTATTTTCCACAGCGTAATTGTAGCAAAAAAGCCCACGGTTTCAGCCGCTCTGTTATTCATGCCGTGGAGCATAGTTTTAGGCGCCGCCAGTTCGGTTGTCCGCCCAACACGCTAACATGTTGGACACTTTTTGCAACACAGCCCCTTACCGCCTCACTACCCCTCGTGCCTGATCCCTGGGCCATCATCCTATGGCTCCACTGGCTTTGTTTGTCTTTGATGTGCGTTTTCCGCTTGTTTTTCGCATTGGGGTTGGGAAAATTGAATGCCCAGCAGCCGACAGTCGGGCCTTTTGTAATTGAGTTGGCCGAGCGGGCGGCATGGGGAAATAGTTCAGCCAATTCGGACATGAATTGCAATGCAGTCGAACATGGAAAATCCCTATCCCTATGGCCAGCCAAGAACAATTTGGCCCCAAGCTAATTAATCATTTTTCACTTTTTCAGTTACAACTTGCAACAGTTTCAAATGGGAAAAAAGTGCTCAGCAATTTCTCACAATTTGCAAACTGCCAAAAGCCAATTACAGTCGACACAATTACTGTATTAGCGTTCATTATGTAATCAATTTCAATTGCCAATGAAAATGCAATTGTAATTAAGATTCGTGTTTCCAAAAATTAAGGCCAATAAAGGAAACATTTGGCGTTTTATTTAAAGTTTAAAAAATATTAAGTTTATAGGGACTAGTTCCTATTAAAAAAATATTAAATCAATTGAGTGATAAGCTAGTAGGACTTTTCCTCTAATATTTTTGAAGTTACAGGGTATTTATCCTTCGGTTTCAAAAAAAACCTACTAAATTTTAGTAACTAGTTACACATTTAATTGCAATTAAAGGCGTATTGGCCCTTGTATTATAATTACGACGTATGAATGTATGTATATGGAATTCTGTTTGCAAATAAGCAACAATTAAAATACAAAGACTTACAAAGAAAAGAGCCATTAGTATTTGTTTCCATTCTTCCCAAAACCTTACAAATACCCAGCTTCAAAAACTAGTTTCCAGAATACCTAAGGACTTGTGTATATTTTTGGCCATTAAAAATGCAATACAGCATATATTACCACTGAGGCAAGAGGCATTTTGTTGACTTTTGTGGAATATGCAGCAAACATACACCAAATTGCAACGAAAATTTTGATTGCTTTAGTTTATCTTCTAAATTCTCTCTACTCTGTGTCCCTAAGGGCTTGACTATGAAACTGTGTTTTTTGGTCAAAAGTGGAAGCAATTCAATCTGCGGCAGGACCACTGACCAGATATCAAATCTAGTTGTCTTTCCAGGAGGCTCTCGTCGATGTCACCGATCCCATTCCAGCTACCGTGGATGGCTTGTTTTGAGTGGTGGGTGGTGGTCTCTTTGGGGGGCTTTTTAGACAGACAGGAGTTTATGTGCGCTCTGTAGATAGACAGGCCCGGTTGAGTGTTTCAATTTATTTTTCATATTTTTGTTTAACCGCTTTTTGTTTTACTTTCCTATTTCAGCCATCCGAAATTCCCCCGGCTCGCGCACAAAATGCCAAAAGTTAAAATAAACAGTCAACGGGGCGGGGCAGGAGGAGGGCCAGGAGCAAGGAGCCAGGACAACACACAGGAAGGCAGGAAACACTTGAAAAAGTATGCCAACAATATTTTTGCCATCTCTCACAGTTCGGTTTGGTTTGGTTTGGTTTTGTTTTGCTCCTTTCCTGGTGTGTCTGCCTTGTCTGTGTGCTGTTGTGCTATTGAAAAGGAAATGAATGGCAGGCAGAAAAAGTTAAATCACCTCCAGCAATTGGGCCGGCTGTGGCTCATGGATCCCTGGAACTCTGGATCGGTTCGCAGGCAGGCGGCCATCGGGTGGGTATCGGAGGTGTTGCTCTGGGTATTTTTCCCTTGGGGGTAGGGGTGGTGGCGTATGCGCAATATTCGCGCATCGGGCTCTAAGCTGCGGCCTGAGCCCTGGAATTTGTCGCATTTTCTTCTTCGGTGTCTTCTGTTTGATTTTATTTCATTTTATTTTTCGCTTTCATTTCATGCTGGCTCTTTTTTTCTTGTAATTTTTTGTATTGTTTTTCGATTTTCTATTTGCTGTGGGAAATTGCTTTCAATAATGACGCAAAAGTGTTGCTGGGGGGACATTTTAATGGCTGCTTGGGTGTTCGACAGATAGGAGAGCGCCATCTGCAGGCGACAAATTGAACTGATACTGAACCCCTTATCGCTTTTTGCAAGGTGCACTGTAAAAAAATATCTTAAATTATGTAAATTAAAACTATATGCAAAGAAAGGTTTATTTTTTAAGGCTTTAAAAATTAATCTCATACTTTATAATTAAAATATTTTTTGTTTAAAGTATCATCGGGAATTCAGGTTAAGAATTATATAGACCTATTTGTTCAGTGCTTCCCCATCCCCACAAACACTTTAGGCAATTTGAACGCACTCATCGTTGCGTTGGCATCAATAAATTGCCACCGGTGCGGTGTGAATCCTCGCGTTGTGTCCTTGGTCATGCCTCACCTTTGCCAATCCAGTACCCCTGGCCATGTTCAGGTGTGTCCGGCTCCTCCTTCCTGGTTACCTTTGCAGTTCGCCGTGTCCGCATTGCACTCTTCCGGAATGCAACGCCAACGGCTCGACGTCATTTGCATTTCGAACGAACAGATCTGGGCCCGGGGAGTGGAATATATTAATATATTTGTGCGTTTCCACGGCAGCATGTCCTTGATTCAAAAGAGGTTTCATTTTCCGAGAAGTGTCCATATATAATCAATATTATATCCATATACTCTTATTTAATTTTACACTTGGCTGCACTACAAAGTAGTTTTATATTAAAAAAAATAATTAAGCTCAAGGTAAAAATGTATAAAATATATTCAATCAAGAAGAAGTACATTAATTTCATTACAAAGTCCAATTATTCGTTCTACCAAAGAGTTTTTAATTAAAAATCCTCCAGGAAAAGAACAAGAACGAGCTCAACCCTCTTGAAAATAATATTACCATCAATGCTTTTAAGCTTGATTACATTTTCTCTTTTAAAATATGTTTAAGCCTCGAAAAATGTGTAGGGATCACGTACGCACATTCGAATGCCCCAGGACAGCCCTTCAAAAATTGCCCGAATCGTGTCATAAGTCAATACCAAAAGTAAATGGCAAGAGAGTTACAGAAAAGGGACCCAAAGCTATGAATTTCTAAGGACTGAATAATAAATAGAATTCAAGGACACATCTTTGAGAAAAATACACTTGAACAGCACCCTAAATGCATTTTCTTTTCTTGTTAATTGGAAAAACAATTTTTATAATTATGTGCAACATTTTTTATTTTAATTACAAACCACAGAAAGCAGCCCGATTTGGTTGAGATTTATGCAAGAGATACAATAACAAAATACAAAAAACAGAAATCCGAAATCAGAATGGAAATTGTGTATATATACCCGTATTACGTAAACAATTCATTCACTTTAATGAGCCATTGTTCGAACGAAAAGCCGGAGAACAGAATACGGAACACGGAATCCACCGAATACGAAATTGTTTATTTGCGCATCGCGACGGGGCCTATTAATGAAATTTCGTTTGCAGTGCGTTGATTGCTCCACTTTTTGGCCAATTTCACGGTGCGGGATGGAAATCAATAACAATATGCCCTCCTCCCCAGGAGGGGGTCTCAATGTTTAATTAACAGGCTGCTCTATCGGCTCTTCACCCGCACCACCACGGCGAACAGGGAGTAGGCCATCTTCAGGGTGGCATAGAATGCGTTCAGATTCAGCTCCACGAGTCCGCCCGCCTTCATCACCCGGCCCCGTCCCGTGGTGCCCAGTGTCAGTTGGGTGAAGATGAGCAGATCCCGGCGGTGACGTCGCGATCGGGCATACCAGCGGCTGGAGAAGATCGCGTAGGGCAGACTCTGCACCTCCTCGGCCACCACGCTGGCGAAGTAGCAGCTGGGAAAGAGCTGGACGCAGACCACTCCGATAAACACCAGGTTGTAGATCAGGGATATCATGTCCGGGGCATAGAAGAGCACATAGGACACCACGAGGCACAGGGTGCCGCCACAGCCACCTAGCTGGAAAATTTGCACCTCACTGATGGTCTTCTGGGTCAGGTAGTGGAATCTACAAGTATCCAGGTTAACTTATAGCTTGGATTACTTTATACTCACCTCATTAACAACTTGTGCTGCTCTATGTACTCCAAGAACCTTCTGTACTGATTCATTTCACTTTCGTTTCCTTCAAATCCCAGCCTTGACATGCGCATGGCCCACAATCGGATGTGGCCCCCCAGGAGGCACAGGGTCAATGGAGAATATGTGTCATTGCTTAGGCCCTCTAGACCATCGATCAGAACGCCTAAAATCTGGTAGCTAATGGCCAGAGCATACAAACACTGATTCCTCTGCCAGTCAAAGGGGAAATACGCCGGGATAAGCAGTTCCCCGGTTTCAGTAGCGACCACGACCAAGAAGCCAAGCATGAAAATCGCGTATATAATTCCGAAACTGATATAAAGGCATTGCGTGAAGCGTTTGGCATTGGACTTTACGTTTTCGCGATAATATTGATGCTCGTCTTCGCTTTCAATAAACTTATCCAACTGGGTGATTAAAGAATCTATTTCTTGTATCTCCGGTAGGTGAACGAAGTGCGCCACATGTTTCAAGCTGCAGGCCGAGCAGGTGATTGTCATAATCAGGTTCTTGAAGAGATCCGCGGGCGCAGGATGTAGCAGGACATGTAGGAGTAGATGAAGGGGGAAACACAAGGTAATCAGGAACTCCAGAACCACCACATAAGCACGAAGAAGTCGCGTTGGTTGCCCGAAGAAAGTGGGGGCTAGTATTCTCATGCAAATCCAAAACGGACGATAAAACCGAACACTATCAATGCCCACCATTATGAGTCTAATGGATGTCCGCCGAATGAATTTCAGCTTATATTGCTGATACCTGTGGAAATGCACTGAGAATAATTATAGCTTAATTAAGATATGGTACAATAGTTAAAAAACTATAAAGGATTCTCTTCATAATTTTATTTGTTTTAAATTTATTTTGTATACAATTTTTGGACAAGTGTAGTATCCTCAGCTAAATGACATTTAAACGGCGCCAATGCAATTTTCATTAAGCCTCCGTTAATGGCCCCCCATTAGTGGTAATGAAAATTAAGCGAATATGCAAATTCAGGCGCCAAATGCACGGCAGCCTCTGGCCCACTCATTAGCGCAGCGACATGGCCAACGTGAAGAAGGAGTAGGCCAGCCGGACGGTGGCAAAGAATGCATTCATGCCAATGCCAATCGTACCACCTGCCTTGATCTGGACTTGCGTCAAGGTAAGCTGCATGAACATCAGCAGGGTGCGGCAGTATTTACGATCCATTCCCAGCCAATTACTTGAATATATGGCGTACGTAAGGCTGTTCATCTCAATGGATATCAAAGTTCCGTAATAGCAACACGGAAATAGCTCCAGCACCATAGATATGAAATACACGGCGTAGTAGGTTATGGAGAAGAGATTTTCCGCAAAGAACAATATATAAACAAGGGTTATGGATATGTTGATGCCGCTGGCCATAAACTGGCCGAGTTGTGATATGTTCATGGTGCTGCGCAGTAAGTCGATGATTCTGTAAATAACGGAAAAATGTTATATATTAAAATATTAAAAGAAAAATCTCATAAAGCTCTTAGTTACTTCATTAATTTCCTATGATCCTCAATGCCTTCTATTAGTTTCCTGGCCACTGACACTTGGGTTGCCCTTGTCTCCTGACCAATCCGTCTTAATCTCATGGCCAACAACCGCACATGTCCTGCCACCACACAGAACGTCATTGGTGGATAAGAATCATTGGCCAAATTTTGAAGAATAGCCAGGCTAACGCCAACTACTTGGTAGGCTACACTTAGCCAGTATCTGAGCTCCGTGGCCTGGACATCGTAGGGAAACCAGCCAGGATACAACAGCTGATGGTCCCCGAATAGGACCGAGGCTATGGCTGATATGTTTGACAAATTATAGGCCCCAAGGAAGCTTTTCCAAATAAAATTCGCCTCCTGGCGAGTGTTTTTATCGAAGTACTCACACTCCTCATCACTCACGGCCCGCTGATCAAGTTCCTTTAGCAAAGCTTCGATGGCTTTAATTTCTTTCAATTTCAAACGAAAACAAATAAATTTAAAACTGCAGAAAAAACAGGACGCTGTGATGGGAAGTCCTTTGCAGATATCACCCAAGGAACGTTCGGAAAATACTCCCACAATGAGATGAATGGGATACCAGATGGTGACGAAGAAAGTGATTATAATATCCAGGACTTTCCGCATTGGAAAGTCGGTTTCCAATCCCAACAAGCGCCAGTAAAACCAATACACTCTATAAATACTTTCACTTTTAATAACTGGCGGCTTAGTCTCCATTTTTTAGACAATATAGTCATTTGTTGGGCCTGCTTCCTTTTATACTTTTCGACACCTTTCGGAAATAATTATAGTTGTCTGAGTTACGCCCATCATTTAGGAATCTACTATAGACATATAATTTGTGGTAATCAGTTCACACCTTTCCATTTTGTAATATTTGTATTTTAAAGAGCTCTTTAGAGGTTTTTGTTTAATAAAAATATTCATAATTCAGTAACACATGGGATTTAATGAGTTTATTATATTTATCATCTTTATTATTATTTTTATAGAATATAATTCAAAAGTCAAAGAAGTAAAGTCTACTCATTATTTAAGTGACACACCGAGGGTGAAAAATGAGTATGCCATTCGAACAGTTGCAAAGAATGCATTCATTCCAATCACAACCATGCCTCCTGCCTTTATTTCCACCTGGGCTACCGTAAACTGCATCAATATAATCAAGGACCTGCAGTATCCTTTGTTCATTCCCAGCCAATTGCTCGAAAATATGGCATATGGTAATTGGTCGAATTTCTTTGACATTAAAGTGCCATAATAGCAGCTCGGAAACAGTTCAATCAGCATGGCCGCAAAAAATACAACATAGTATATGATGGCGAAATGATTTTCCGCAAAGAACAAAATATTGATAAGGGTTACGGAAATGTTGATGCCACTGGAGATGAACTGACCAAGTTGGGAAAGATACAAAGTGCTGCGCATCAGTCGAATAATTCTAGTTAAAATAAAAATAAATTAATAAAATCTTATGCATTTAAAACAATTCTTCTTACTGCATTAGTTTCCTGTGATCTTCAATGTTTTGGACCAGTTCTTTGGTGGCCTCTGCTTTTGAAATATTTTTATCATGTCCGATGCGACTTAATCGCCTGGCCAGTAGCTTTACGTGTCCTGCGACCACACAAAAGGTGATCGGAGGATAAGAGTCATTGGAGAGATTGTGAAGGATCGCTAGAGTACTTCCCACTACCTGGTAACTAAAACTAATCCAAAATATCGTTGGAGTAGCTTGTACGTTATAGGGAAACCAGGCCGGTTGCAATAACTTCCGTTCATTGCTGAACAATCCAGCTGCCGTGCCCGTGATTATAGCGCTAATGGCGGCCACTAAGTAACTCCTAGACAGCATTACTGCCACTCGTGCAGTATTCTGATCAAAGAACCTTCGGTCTTCCTCACTTTCAGCTCTTTTATCCAACTCAGTTAGCAGCTTTTGTATAGCCTTGATTTCATCAAGTTTCCATCGAAAGCAAAGAAACTTAAAGCTACAGAAGAAGCACTCCGATGTGAAATGCAGACTCCTGAATAGGTCCACAATGCCCTTGTTGAAAAGTCCAAGAATGAGATGCACTGGGTACCAAAATACGATAAAAACTGAGTTTAAAACATCTACTAAGAGGCGTTGTGGATATTTTCCTTCTACGCCCAGGAGCCAAAGATAAACCCAGTAAGTCCTGTAGAGATCTTCACTTTTAACTACCGGAGGAACCGTCTTCATTTTTCAAATAGTTTTCAAGCACTAATAGTCTTAAGCCTTTTTATACTTTTTTATAATTATAGTTTATCAGCGTAGGCGTAATTGAAAGCATATTAAATATTAATTATGGCTGAACGATTAACACCTGCCAAGTGATAATTAAACTTTGACGAATGGGGGGGCCTTTGACCTTGCTTTAAAAATGTATAAAACTAATGCACTAAGAAAAAATAATGAATTTCAATATTTAGTTCTAACCTTTTTCACTGAACCACTAAGTACAGTGTATAAGTTACAGCAAGTACTTTCAAATGAATGTAGTAAAAAATAGCTTTTCTTATAAATTTATTACTTTTTATACCCTTGCAGAGGGTATTATAATTTTGTCCAAAAGTGTGCAACGCAGTGAAGGAGACATCTCCGACCCTATAAAGTATATATATTCTTGATCAGGATCACCTCCTGAGTTGATATGAGCAAGTCCGTCTGTCCGTCTGTCTGTTTCTACGCAAACTAGTCTCTCAGTTTTAAAGCTATCGTCTTGAAACTTTGCACACACCCTTCTTTCCTTTGCACGCAGTATATAAGTCGGAACGGCCGGGATCGGCCGACTATATCCTATAGCTGCCATATAACTGATTGATCGGAAATGGTATAACTTTGGTGTTTTTAGAGTTAGAGTCAAATTTGACATGAGAGCTATTTTTGGCAAAATAATACGACATGCCAAATTTCATAAGGATCGGCCGACTATATCCTATAGCTGCCATATAACTCAACGATCGGAAATGACCCAACTTTCGTGTTTTTGAAGATAGAAAGCTGGAATTTAGTACAGACTCTATTTTTGGTTAGTTGATCCAACCTACCAAATTTCATTAGGATCGGCCGACTATATCCTATAGCTGCCATATAACTGAACGATCGGAAATGACCCAACTTTTGTGTTTTTGAAGATAGAAAGCTGGAACTTGGTACAGATTATATTTTGATCCATCCTACCAAATTTCATAAGGATCGGCCAACTATATCCGATGTTTGCGATATATATCCGGTTTTAGCTGCAAGGGTATATAAACTTCGGCTCCGCCCGAAGTTAGCTTTCCTTTCTTGTTTTTCATAAAAGTGTCCTGAGAAATTTAAGTGGTCTGAGAAATTTTTGTGGCCGGAGAAAATAGCATTGGGTTATCCTTTTGGAGCCTTGGAAACTAGGATAACTACGTAACTGAAGGAATGTAACTAACTGAATGTTAAGTTCATACAGACATTAATAACAAAATCTAGATAACCCATGAAGTACTTTTAATTAAATAGCAATTCACCGAATACTTTCATGAAATTAGTGTCCAACATTTAAATTTATATTCAACGTTCAAAAATCGATTATGAATAAAATATTAGTCATTCTGTTTGTAATAAAGAACGGCTACATAATGGGCAATAAAAGATTCAGTTAAAAAGTTGAACTAAAGCTGTCTGATAATCTTAGTAATTTTTTTGGCCAAACTGTTGCAAGTGCACCGACAAAGTTGCCGTAATTTGACATTAAAATCTCCTAGTTGCAGCTGCTGGAAAATGAGCTTAAGAAACCAGGGGCAAAGTTTTAGTATTCCTGGGCAAGTTTCGTCCTTTTACTCGTTTTATGGCCAGTGCTTTGCATTGCATTTGTTTTATGGCCTTCGATGATTTCTGCTTCCAAAATTTACTAACAAAATACAGAGAACTAAGCTTACAATGTTCTGTGGAGACCTTTAAGAAAAAAAAGAAAACATAAATAGATATAAAAATTTTGTACGAATTTTTTCAATAACATCTTTTTGGGATTGCTTGGTAAAATATTTTATCACGAAAATATGGACAAAAATCGAATAAATATTTTGGCTCAGGATTTTGATGCAGAATGGTGGAGAATCGATCCAAAAATCGTTTAAGGTACTCCGCTAGTGAATCGGATAAGAATTGGTGAAGATATAGCCATCACTGTGGGCCATATAGGGGAAAACCTCATTTTCAAGGGGTCCCATCAGGAAAAATGGACAAAAAATCTAAAAAATATTTTTTCTCAGGATTTTAATGCAGAATGGTGAAGAATCGATCCAGAAATCGTTTAAGGTACTCCGATTGAGAATCGGATGAGAATTGGTGAAGATATAGCCATCCCTGTGGGCCATATAGGGGAAAACCCCATTTATAAGGGGTCGCATCAGGAAAAATGGACAAAAAATCAAAAAAATATTTTGTCTCGGGATTTTGATGCAGAATTGTGGAAAATCGCTTTAGAAATCGGTTAAGGTACTCCGCTTGAGAATCGGATAAGAATTGGTGAAGATATAGCCATCCCTGTGGGCCATATAGGAGAAAACCTCATTTTCAAGGGGTCCCATCAGGAAAAATGGACAAAAAATCTAAAAAATATTTTTTCTCAGGATTTTAATGCAGAATGGTGAAGAATCGCTCTAGAAATCGTTTAAGGTACTCCGCTTGAGAATCGGATGAGAATTGGTGAAGATATAGCCATCCCTGTGGGCCATATAGGGGAAAACCTCATTTTCAAGGGGTCCCATCAGGAAAAATGGACAAAAAATCCAAAAAATATTTTTCTCAGGATTTTAATGCAGAATTGTGGAAAATCGCTTTAGAAATCGGTTAAGGTACTCCGCTTGAGAATCGGATAAGAATTGGTGAAGATATAGCTATCACTGTGGGCCATATAGGGGAAAACCTCATTTTCAAGGGGTCCCATCAGGAAAAATGGACAAAAAATCTACAAAATATTTTTTCTCAGGATTTTAATGCAGAATTGTGGAAAATCGCTTTAGAAATCGTTTAAGGTACTCCGCTTGAGAATTGGATAAGAATTGGTGAAGATATAGCCATCCCTGTGGGCCATATAGGGGACTATATCCTTTAGCTGCCAAATAACTGAACTGAAGGATTGCCAACTTTATGCGATGGTTGCGATAAATATATAATCTTATCCGGATAAGATTCGATATCAACATCGGCTCCGCTCGAAGCGGAGCTTCCTTTCCTGTCTGTTACAATTAAATTAGCTCGTAATTAGTTTATTTTCTTTTCGTATAAATGTTTCTGTTACATTCTTTGAATCCTAGTTAATATACTCTTTTTACTGCAAAGTATAATTAAGAAGCAGCTGCAACTTTTTTTGTATTGCAAACTTTTTGTGTTTTTTGTTTGTGGTCTGTCCCCACTCCTTTAGGCAAAAAAAAGTTGTGAAACTTATTTGATTTCGAATTTTTTGGAAAAGTTTCTCTCTTCTATATGATTTTCAGGCTTCGACTGCCCTCCGAGTGTGTGTTTATGTGCACTAAATTAATGAAAATCACAACTGTGCGCAAAATGTAATTTAATCTTATTTTTTTCGGTTTTCTCCAGTTGGGCTCGAGGGCAACTGGCACGTGGCCTCCGATAAAGTTGCCGCAAAGTGAGAGTGGGAGTGAGCTGAGTTGTGAGTTGCGGAAGAATTCTTGTTTTATCAGGCGAAACTGACAGTTTTCAAATTTATCAAACACCCATAGGTTAAAGGCAAAGGATGAGGACTCATCTGGCCAGGCATTTCATTTCTGATGGGCAAGGTCACAGAGTCTTGAACATGTCCTATTGTTTGTCATGTAATTTATTAGATTCTGCCGCTTTGATTATCTCTGGACAATGTTTTCTGTTTAGCATCAAACGGCTAGTTTTTATTACCTTTTCAGAGCCAATTTTGCATATAGAAAGTAAACAGCCAAGAAATTAAGTAAACAATTTAATGTTCATTTTGGAATTGGTGCAAAGATTGAATTGAAAAGTTTAAAGCTCATAAAACACATTGCTTTTATTGCTGGATAAGCACGAAGCTGTGTGGTTACGCTTCTTAGATGCAGATTTGCAAAAAATCCAGAACTACTAAATTGGAATTCAGCCGCCGGAAAAATATAGCGAATATGAAAGCCATAAAATGCAGAATTCCATGTTTCTGCTTTGGATTGGGAGTCCGAAAAATGCGAATAAAAAATAATTTTAAGGAAGCCACAGTCCGCAGTGTCAGCCACCGAAAAATGTCAAAACGTTGCCTGGTCATAAAATTGGCCAAATAATCCTTTTTAGATGTACGATTCACATAAAATGGAAAAGTTAAAATAAGGAACTGTCTAATATAGATTCTAGTTTTGAAACAAAACTATCTGATATTTATGTTTATTCAGTTTTCTTGGGCATTGTGTCAAGTATTTATTGCTTTATCGCTGAATGCTACATATATCTGTGCAACTAATTTCAAACGATTTTTCACAGCGGATATACACAGCAGAACTGCGCAGAAACATAGTGTTTGTTTCTTTCGGTTTATGGTATTATTTTTTTGTGGGCTTTATTTTTTAGACCACTAAGAGTTCCATGAAATCGAGTGTCGGAACTTGCATGATTCGCCAGCTGTGTTTGCCTTTTGTTTACTTAGTCTAGTCGGGGTCTGTGGATGGACTTGGGTTATGGAGTATATACTTTGGCATGGGTAGGTGCTAAAGGGATTTAATAAAAGAGTAAAATTATTTTGCGGAAAATTTTATTACGAAGTCATATCTTCTTTTTTAAAGAAGCTTATCTTATGGGAGTAATTTTCAAAAACCCCTTTTTCTAGTACGCTCCTGTCTCATGTGTGTGTGTGGCTTTTGTTTGCTACTTTGTTTCCTTTGTCTGTGTGTCGGTACTTGCGGTCACGGCTAATCGTCTAATTTTATCATGTGGTTTTCCCCATTTAAGTGCCGCAAAGTGTTGAACGATTTGTGTAGTTCTCCCTAACCATCACTGCCGCCCACCACCTGTTTTATTTTTTCCCCTTTTTTCTAGTGTCCATCTATGGAATTTTCGGCATGGCTTTGTGTCAGTCTTTTTTGCTTATCATTAAGCTAAGTGCTTGCACTTTTGACCTTGCCACGCCTACTCATTAACCCGCGGGGAAAGGTCATTTTCTCATTTTCATTTTTGTCATTTTCCAGAGAAATGCAAATTAATAGGACTCACATTCTAAAGGCAAAAACTTGTAGTGTAAATGGTCTATGTTTGTTGAGTTCTCAAATTGCGTATACCGAGCAGACAACATTTCGCATACACGACGGCAATCAATCAAATGATAAAATTACACAGCCCACTCCTAATCCGGCCATGTCTGGCTGATTTTGGCCCGGTTTCGGGCTCTACCATGGCTGCGAACAGTGTTTCCGGTTACAATTTTGCATAAAACGCGCTTCGTTTGCCAAACAAAAGTTTTGCCCAGTCAGCCTTTGTTTGGCAATTGGGAAACTTTGCGCCATTCCCACCCAGGATTTAATAAGTAGTCCTAGCTTAAGATTGAAATTATGGGTTTATATTACAATAAAATAGTGGCTTTTAATATTAGTTTTCTGAAAATATACAATACCATTTTTTAAGTTATAAGAAATACCTTAAGACTATCTAAAAGTTTAGTGATTTCAACCAGACCATACTTAAAATTATTCCTCTCTATTATTGATTCTACTACCTGGATTATGGCTGATTCTGTATGTCTACATCAGCTGTTCAGGCGGCAAGTGCATTTCAATTTCGCACTGTCAAATTATGATCTCTGTTGCCGTCTCTCTCGCTTTACTCCTTTGCCATCTCACTCTCTGTCTGCCTGCTTAGCCTGGTTTATGGGCCAGTTTCATTTCAGCCAGCATCGCAGTTATTACACGCCCACAAATGCTGACATTTCAATTGTTCCGGCAAGCTTAGTTCTGCTGTCAGTGCCAAATATTGTTTTGGGTCAAGTATTGCGTTTTGGACATTAGTTGCCAGAGCTCTGTGGGTTAAGGGGGGAAGGGGAAGTGGATCCCATGGATTCCCGTCTCGAACTATAACCTTAATTCCTGCGTCTTTGGCTTCGACATCCGACAACCATCAACATCCTTGCCGACGAAGTAGTCGTCATCGCATCCGTAGCTCAGCCTATAAAATATGAAGCAATTGACGTGAAATTGATTGTACTGCTCCAAGCTGTGACCCCCTTTGCTGTGCTCTTGCTCTTTCCATTATTGTGTTGCCTTCTCTTTCTCCTTTGCTTCTGCCAGCCATCTTGTGGTTTTCCGTTGGCACTTTATTAACCATAAACTGCAGGCAAAGTCTCACACCTACTGGTTAGACTTTCCCATGCCAAAGATTTCTTTATTTTAAAAATATTAAGATAGGTATATGCCAAGGCCTTGCTTATCTTTCAATTAATAATTTTTAAGATCAAGATTATGCATACATATTTTCAGAATAAAGATTTTGAAAGGTAATTTTATTGGGTACTACTTTTTTAAGTTGCGTTTAATAGCTCGTGGTCTAATAGTTTAGCTTAATTATGTAATAAAATAAAATTAATCCAAGTATTTTCTCCAAGTG